TTTAATTTTTTTTTGTATGGACAATTGTCTACGCAGGGGGAGGGGGGTCAAGAATTCCAAAAAAACTGTATACGTAGTTTATGAACAGCCCCTTTGCTGTGGCTGAATTTGTTCGGTTGTTGCGATTAGATGTGTTGAGTTTGAAATTTCGGAAAGGGTGTATTCGTGCCGAGGGGGACGACTCTATCTACGTTGCAGGAAAAATTCTGTTTTGCTGTGGGTAGCTGCGTGCACGCTGAATAGATAGAAAGAAGATTAATGACGATTCTGAAGATTTCCTGCAAAAAGATGCAAGTAGATGCGAGAACTTAAAGAAGAGTTTTCGAAGATTGATTCGCTAGTGTGATTTTTTTTCAGCATCTAGTATTGAGATTTAGATGTGTCGCTCCCCTCGATTCGTGCCAAAGCCTCGTTATATCAACAATCAATACGAAACTAACGATTTTAAATTGGCTCACCACTTTAGTAGCCTATTGGTCCCAAGCAAACGATTAACGTACCCTATTCTAGTTGAAATTCTATTACTACACTATGTTTGTTTTGATTCGCTATGAAAGTTTGACAGATAACATCAGGCATGCAGAACATGCAGGGGTGAGTGAAATAGCTTGGGACTGCTTGGGACCGTTGTTCTGGTACTGAGTGAGCCAAAAATAATAATGATTTTCTTCGGGACCCAGTGGTCTTAGAGTTACCTCTATACCGGATGACGGTTGTTTTGAAATCAAATGATTTTCCTCTCAAATACTGGATGAAACTTGTTATGAGAAGGGAAAGGGCCTTCAGTTGAAATGCCTAATGCTCTCTGTAGAATGACTGTCATACTAAATGGAAATGCATATGGTATTGGTTCAGCCCCATAACGCAAATCATTCAAAACGATGATGTAAAAAATTCTATCGAACGTCATTTGCTGATCTGAGCTGACAAACGAGGTGGAAGCATATGCATCGCTATCAGAGTTTTTACGAACAAAGGTAAAGGATGAAAACCAATGTTTGGCTAATTCGTGGTAAAGGAGGTTTTCTCCACCACGAATTTTTTTTTTGTATCCATGATGGAATGGCTTATTATGGCTATTCAGTATGGAATTGTACATAATCAAATTATAAATCTAATTAAAAGCACTTGCATGTCACACTATTCTTAAATGTTTGTCCTCTAAGTGCCGTATGTTTTATAGCTAATTTTCAAACGAAAATCATCCTGTATTTGGATGACAGTCATATGGATGTTCATCATCTGACGACGAATCCAACCATAAGAAAATCATCCGAAATTCGAATGCATATTGTTAAAGGGCTCGAGCAATGCAATAATCATTCGAAGTATTGCGGATGTTTTGGTTCAGTGTAGTAGTAGTGGTGTTGCCGTGTGGTACACTGAAAAATTGAAATAGCAGGTTAGTCACCAAAGTTTTCGAGCTGCTCCGTCTGTCACTTCGTTTGTGCTAGTAGGTCCCGAAGAAACGTACTCAACTTTTTGGCTCAGCTCTGTTACTATCTTCGGTCCCAAGCTAATCGATGCACCCCTCGAAACATAGGAAAATCCACGAACCCCCCATTTTATCTGTCAAACTTTCATAGCGAATCAAAACAAACATAGTGTAGTACTAGAATGGGATACGTTAATCGATTTGCTTGGGACCAATAGCACAAACGAAGTGACAGACGGAGCGGCTCGAAAACTTTGGTGACTAACCTGCTATTGCAATTTTTCAGTGTACCACATGGCAACACCACTACTACTGGATTGTACCACATGGCAACACTACTACTAGATTGAACTAGCATTTTCACCGAATGTACTAGAATGTTTTGGTCCTATCTCTTTCACTCTACTCAAAACTGAAATGCATAAAAAAAATGACAAAATGATACACTCTTTGCACACTGTCAAAGAATCATTGTACACAAAATCAACTTTGTTCACATCAAAACAAAAAAACTAGCCCATCTGGTGAATGATGGCACAAGCTTCCCAGAAAATTCTATTACAGTGAACCACATTATTTAGGCTCTGAACCATTTGGTGGATTATTTTAACTTTTGGTTAAAATTTGACAGATGAAAAGTTATCGATTAACCCTGCTATCCGAGCATGGTTATTTCTGACAGACAAGAAGTTAAATTTTGACAACCGTGGCTCGAAAACCGGTCGATCAACAGCACGGGGATTTTCGAACATAGAAAATAACTTTCGAAATGTCACTTTTAACCACGAGTTAAATTTAACTCGGCAAATGGTTCACAGCCTTAAATGGATTTCTTCGCCAGTTAGGCTGTGAACCATTTGCCGAGTTAAATTTAACTCGTGGTTAAAAGTGACATTTCGAAAGTTATTTTCTATGTTCGAAAATCCCTGTGCTGTCGCTCGACCGGTTTTCGAGCCACGGTTGTCAAAATTTAACTTCTTGTCTGTCAGAAATAACCATGCTCGGATAGCAGGGTTAATCGATAACTTTCCATCTGTCAAATTTTAACCAAAAGTTAAAATAATCCACCAAATGGTTCAGAGCCTTAGTCGTCTGTCACTTCGTTTGTGCCAATAGGCTAGTCAAGTATGTAGTGAGATAATTTAAAATCGTTAGTTTCTACTGGTTGACAGTACCGTTAGTATATTTAAAATTAACCATCAGTCGCTGAAACTATTGTCGTTTTCGTTTTTGCCACGGGGCTGCTAAGCCAGCATTTTTCTGTTGTCCGCTATTTTTCACTCACGCTTACAACCAACGCAAAACAAACACATGCGGTGTAAGCGACAGCTGTAAAATATACAATACAGCCGCAAAGTTCGTATGTGTTGTTCAGATTTGTTATGGGCCATAAATGTATAGCCAGTTAAGAGGGGTACTGTCAAATTTGTGAAATCCCATAGTGGAAACATTTGATGTCAGTCCCGTGGTTTTTGCGGTGTAGCACCGGTGTAGTGTAAGCAGGAATAAGCGCGAGTCTTTGACAGCTCAACATCATTTGTTTGTAAACAAAGGTGCATCCTATATCTACACCCTAAAATATTTCGGTGTACGGCAGTGTAGCACCGGTGTAGCTACACCGCAAAAACGAAAACGACATAATATATGAATTATCGCGTATCTCTGTTGTTCATCATTACATACCAAGTGAAAACTTAATCATATTTTGTCGTGGGGTGTTGTGGTTGTGAGATGCTCGATAACCCTGGAGGGATCGGTTTTGCACCATCGTTGGGTTCCGAGAGCATAAAGCGCAGTTAATAACCAAAAGATGAGTATTTTAAACCATGAATTTCGGAAAAGTTCTATGCGTGATCCAGTTTGGAAGACATTTTTGGCTGCTTTCAGAGACGTCGCTTCATTTGAATAACTTTTTGTTGAGTCGGTCGTAGATTGTGGTAGTGTAAGGGGCACGGTGGCTATAGAGCAACTGTTTTTGCTTAATGAGTAGAAGATCATGGGTTAAAACCCAAGCCTCATTACATTGCTAAGTTAATATATCCAGGTCTCTATTATAGAAAATCGTTAGAGGAACGATTCAAAAAAGTAATAAGTATATTTAGACAAATGTGACGTACGCCTGAAACGGCTCGAAAGACATTGGTAACTACTTTGGATGATTTTATTTTATTGTAATATCTTCTTGTAACCGACAATGAACGATCGTCGGTCGTAGCTTGTTGTGATGTAAGGGGCACGGTGTCCTTAGAGCGACCGTTTTTGCTTACTGAGCAGAAGATCGTGGGTTATAACCAAAGCCTCTGTACATTACTGAGTTGATAGGGTCGCGTCATTTGTTTAACAGGTTTTAAAAGAGCGCATCACTTTCCAATGTGAATCCAGATCTAATTTACCCTTCCTACTAACAAAAACGTCCTTCCCGTGACAACCGTGGAGATGCAGAGGTATACTCGGTCTCTAGTAGCAACGTTGTTGAAATAACAATCCTTTCCCTCTCCGATGACCTAAAAAATATGGATTCTCCGGATTTTGTACACTGAGGCTCTGAACCATTTGGTGGATTATTTTAACTTTTGGTTAAAATTTGACAGATGAAAAGTTATCGATTAACCCTGCTATCCGAGCATGGTTATTTCTGACAGACAAGAAGTTAAATTTTGACAACCGTGGCTCGAAAACCGGTCGATCGACAGCACGGGGATTTTCGAACATAGAAAATAACTTTCGAAATGTCACTTTTAACCACGAGTTAAATTTATCTCGGCAAATGGTTCACAGCCTGAGAATAGATTGCTAGTCCCAAGCCCCGTTCATATGGTTCTTTGTGCAAATTTCGCTAAATCTGGTCAATGACGGAGTAGCAACTACTGAAATGTATGGTCATCAATGCTCATGCTCATGCTTAGGCCTAAATCATATTTGATATATATATGTTCTAACAATCACCCCTATTCTGTATTTCGTTTCGAACGAAATTCTCATACAAAAACATATTTTTTTGTATGAGAATTTCGTTCGAAACGAAATACAGAATAGGGGTGAATGTATCGAAATAAATTGTGCAAAGATTGAAAACATTTTTAAATAGGGCCAATTAGAGGACCACTAGAGTTAAAAAAGGCACACTTTCCCTAGATAAAAGAGTGCAGTTAATAAATGGAGGTCAGAATTGGACCGTGCTCTTGCTTATTCAATTCATACTTAGTTTTAGAGAACAAATTTATACCATTTTTTTTATTTTAAAGAAGCATGAAAAATGCTTATGATGGGTTTGTGAGTTAATAAAATTTCTTCAAATGGCAATCGCAATCAATGCAAGATTGGATCCATATCTTTCCGAACAATAAATGTCACTATTGGTCACTTTTAATTGATTTAAAGCAGTCACTATTTTCGATATTTTAGTCACCAAAGTCACTACTATTGTACCACATACCCACTACCAGCCCTGCTTGGCACAGAACACAGCTGGAAGCGATCTCAACTCTAAAATGTTGTCCCCTCTTGAACGGAACAATCCCGGCCCGGGTTCTATGCTTTCGGATTCGAGCAAAATGCCAATCAGTTGTTTGACAAAGATCATTATTAGTAGCTTTGATTTTCGTTTTTTACACATCGTCTCATTCTGCATAAAACCTAGACAACGAGTAGGCATTCATAATGTACAATATATATATATATATATATAGCTATAATTTATGAGTTGCTGTTATACATATGCAAGGTGCGCGAATGTGGTTGCATGCAGTGTTGAATCTTACTCTTTGCTTCTTTTGTGTGTGTTCGTGTATCGTCTGTTCGTGTATGTGTGTATGTTGTAGCTAGGTATCTGGTTTTACGTCAAAATGATGCAATTCTAGAGCTCTATTCATAGTATAATGACATTTTACATTCTTGTGTGTTTACTCAGTCGGTCAGTCTTTTCACTACCATCGGACCACCTTTGAGGGAGGGCGATAACTGTTTCCTCTCGTTCACTAGCTGGCCCCACTGGAGAATGTGTGCTGCTGCTGCAAATGGAAAGACATCAGGTGAAGCGGCTAAGAACCTTTTCTACATCTGCAAATCACTTTCCCTATGGCTGTGCGCGATATTCATTCCGTTCTCTGTTTCTAAATTCATCTGCAAGCTAATATTTTTTTTCTGTATTTTTTCTTATATTTTCGTACACTAGCTATGTAACAAAATTTGACTCACAATCATATTGCAAAACTAACGTTTTCACTCTGTTGGCATTTCAATTTTATGTCTACCTTTATTACGTGCATCCTAATATCATAAATAAGTAGAACGCAGTTCATTCGCATCTCAAAACCGGATTTTTTTTGTAGCGTTCTTTCTTTTTTTTTTATTGATCCTGACCTCTGCGGGGCCAAACGGAGGAGTTCCATACCACATTCAATCGCTTTCTTGTCTGTCTAAACATAATTGTAAAAACGAATAACTAAACAAAAATCGTACATCACAGGATAAGTCATTTGAATTTCGTTCGGCAAGAGCGCCTGACGCGTTTCGGCCAGAAGCAACGTACTAGTCAATTGAAAATAAACTAGGTAGGAGAACGGAAAAAGAGGGCTAGAGTAGTTGATCTATGTGTTCACCTAGTTTAGAGTGCCGGCCCTAGGAGATCGTTGTCATCACTGTCCGAGAGGAAATCATCCGTGTGGGTGATATCGATACGATCGATATTCTCAATCGTGCTAGCCATCATGCGTAAGTTGTCCACACCGGTCAAAAGTTGCCTTCAATTGACGAGAGAAAAAAAATGTTAATGTAAAACAATAGAAACATAGCCGATATCGACCCTACCTTAGGTTGTTTTCCGCCGATGCCGCCGCTTGCCGCAGTTCACGGGACAAATCCTGGGCGCGTGAAAATGGACGTCGGGCATGGCGCGAGCTGAAACCTCTGTTGCCTGCAACACCGCCGGATGGACCTGCATCGCTGACGCCTGCGCCAGTTCCTCCCACCGCGCCTTCCTCTTTCAGGATTTCATTCTCCTGTTTCAGGGTTTCAATCTCGGCCTAGAAATGTGAGATCCAGAGAATAAGACATAAGAAGCACATCAGTGTTGGGAAAATCGAAAAAAAAAAAATTAAAGGGTTGTGTCCTAGACACGACCGCAGTATGACGTAGAACTACGCAAAATTGATGTACGTCATGCATTTTTGATTATTATACTTTATCTTAAATTTTTAAAGTATTTCAATGTTTCGGTTATGGTTTATGTCATTTGCGCACTACGTCTAAATGTATGCCGTGTTTTTTTTCTATGAATATTATATATGGACATGAAAAATGTGTGTTTGGTGAAAAAGTCTAACTTTCTAGTTTCTAATAATACTAAAAATCGAACAATGTTCTCAAAATAGGATTTTATTGAAACGCGGGCTCGTAATCACACAAGCATTTCTGAGTAATTGCGCTACTTGAGTTCTTTTATTTTAAAAAAGTGTGTAGATTTTTATACATCAACTGAATGAGCTTCGTTTTTAGAGCACAACGATTTTTTTTTCGATACCGTGGACTTTCATCTCGATTTTTAAATCAAAGTTTAAAGCAAAATATTAACTCCACTGCTTGACACTAAACTAACAAATTGACAGCTCGCTCCCATACAAAGTCCCACAGAGGGGCGCTAAAATGGTGATATTTGCCAATGTAATCGCAATTATTTAAAATAGTTCCAGTGGTCCAATTTTAATCAAATTTCAGATTTCGGTTCCATGTTTAATGTAGATTACGAATATGCCTTTACCTCAAAACCCTTAATGAACCCAATTGGAAACAGTAGATAGAGTTTCTATCTAAATGATGCACGGTATATGCATTAGGGTTAACATCCGACGCCCCTCCTTCTTTACATATTCTGCACAAAAATACTTTCTAAGCCCCACCCCTGACAGGATTTCCCATCGTTTTTTTTATGAATTGGGTGGGGCAGAAAGTATCTTTTGTGCAGAATATTTAAAAAAAAGGATGGACATCGGATGTTTATCTAATTGCATATATAGAGGTACTAGATATGTTTTACAGTCAGTTGGTGGTAAATCACTCACAGAATAACATCAAAATATTGCGAGCGATTTTTTTTCTTCAAATTCGAAGTACTCTGTGCAGTAGTTGGGTAAAAAAATTAACGGAATTAAACTTTTTTTTACTACATTGTAGTTTGCTTAACAATTATTTCCCGGATGTTTTTTTCAGGTTCTCGCTATAGGAGAGGGGGGGGGGGGTGTGTTTTGTATAAATAACTTTTCCACCGGAGGCGAACCAGCCTAAGGCTGAAAGCCTCCTAAATAAAGCTAAATTAATTAATTAATTAACTTTTCCACGTTTCGTATTAGGGGCTGTTCATTAACTACGTAGACAATTTTTTGGGATTCTTGCCCCCTCCCTCCCCCTCTTAGTTAATGAACAGCCCCTTAGTTGAACGGGACCCAAGTCACCTTTAATCACTGACTTGCTCCTGCTTACTGCACGCCGTCCGAAGCGGTAATGAGCAGAAGCGTGACATGCTGTTTTATATCTTTTCAGAACGATGTGCAACCAAGTGGTACTCGATTATGATGACTGGGTTTGGGAAAAACGCTTATTTCATGAAAACAGTGATAAAATTATCATTTGTACATTTTTCAAAAGTTTTATTGCAGAAAAATAGATTTTTTTTTTATTTCAGCAGGTTTGTAATGTAATATCCTATCGATTGGCGTATTTGGATTTTAATTGCATCTATAAATGACAAAGTTATAAGCGTTCAAAACCTAACACTACTTTACCACACATATTTTTTGATTTGCACCCCAGTATAGTCGACAAAGACGTAGTTCTACGTCAAAAAAATGTTTTGGCAACCTTTACTAGCATCGGTTACTGATCCTACCAGCAATGGCTCCTTCAGTGTAGCAACGAGCTTGTAACTGTAATTACACACGATGCCAGATCTACGGAAACAACGGTATTTTTACGAACCCATAGATTCATATAGGGCAATGAACCCATAATGCACCCACCTGAGTTTTATTTAAGAAATTATTAAAATTAAGGTATTCCTTACCCATTAGGACTGCATCATTAGATACACCTGAGTTTATATCTTATTGAACATATTTAAAAAAAAATGCTTTGAAAAAAGGGTTCGGTGTTCTGATGTTTTACATATGTCTAGAGCAGTTTTTTTTTTTTCTTTCTTTGATTTGTTTTCCGTCGATCTTGTTTTCTGTACTTCCACACCTGAACCCAACCTATCGACCCATCAACTCATGGACCGGGGACCAACGGCTTTACTTCCCTTCCCTTCAGAGATTTTATGCGAAAATCCCGACGTAGTCGTAGACGTGATGGATGACGGCTGACGAAGATCTGTTGTCGATTCCGAAGTAACCCAAACTAGGCTCGGAAAAGCTGGCGTGGATGGCGTTTCGAGCGTTGATGGCGTCTGCGCGACCGGGCTGATGGTGATGTGGATGGACCTGGTGGTTGTGGCTGGCTTGGCTTGTGCAGGTTCCAGGTTCGTAGTATGATGTCGAGAGGCAAATATTGCTTGTCTGCCTTGGACGGAATCGAGCCAGACGTTGACTTACTGTCGGCGTTCGTTCGGTTTCGCAGCTGATTGATGTGCGAACTGATGCACCTGTCTTCAATCCCATTTTTTTTTAATAATCCATTTATAATCCCATCCATTAATCCATTTATTTTTCAAGGCTCAAATGCGTTAGCTTTGCGAAGCCGAATATTTTTTACATGATTGTGTTTACATACTGGTGATTTTTACATGACATTACATGAATATCATTTCTTACAACTAATGTTAGTAGAACGGGGGCCGATTACTCGCGGCTTACTCGACATTAGGGATTACATTTATTGATCATTTGGAGGGAGGACAAGGGAAAGCATTTTGAACTAATTTAAAACTTACACGTAAAGGATGACTAAAACACAGTAGCGTTCCGTAACCTCACTTTTTACCTGTGCACCAACTTAAAAAACCAGATTTAATACCATATTCATACTCGAATCGGTTGAAAAATACACTTAATCTTCTAGTTTACTCGATATCTATCCATTGCAAGCAATATTTTGATAATTGTTTATGTTTTGAGAGTTTGTGCCAGTGCTGTAAATTTTCATATCATTCGATTGAAGATGAACCAATACAACCATTCAATCAATTCTGTGTAAACGAATTCTCACATGACCATAATTTGAAGAGCCCCTTTCTCATTCGAAGCTCATTGTCACTGTCAATTGAGTCACTCAGTATCATTTGATATGCGACAGTGGAGTATGGAAGAAATCCAGCAAAATGGTCCCGAACAGGCAAGTCGACCCGATGTCGGATCAATGTAAGGCTAATTTAAGGTCAATGTCGACCCAATGTCGTGTTGTTGTCGGGTCAATTTTGAGTTTATGTCGGGTCAATGTCGGGTCAACATCGGGTTGGGGTTTGATAGAAGTCAGGTTGGTGTCGGGTTGGCTTCGCTTTTTTGCCGGAATGTCGACCAGAGCTTCGTTTGTGTGTAGGTTACACTCAATTGAATGATATATAGCGTTTCTCAAATGAGAATGATCCATGCCTTCGTCAAATGACTAAGCAACTGATATCACCCATTCGGAGGAGGTCCCCTTTGATAGCGAAAAGCTACTTTTCTCATTTTCATCAAAAATGCTCAAATGATTTTGAGAATTTACAGCACTGGTTTTTGTGCACAGGTAGATTGAGGTTAAGGAAACGCCACTGCTAAAACATAAAACATTAAACACATACATCAACAGCTTTAAGAAAGCTTATAAAGTCGATATCACGGCAAGCCAAGACGTCTCTAATTGGCTTAAAGGGTTGTTTTCCTCCAACCGTAAGGGAATTACACAGAACGGATCTCGCCTCATGATGCAAGGAGCAGGACCAAACAACATGCTCGATGTCGTGATAACCGTTTCCACAGGTACACAAGTTGCTGTCGGCAAGCGTAATACGGCAGAGGTGGGTGTTTAACTGACATAACCCCAAGGCTGCAAAATGCGTGTCGATGCATGTTGACATGACTGGTTCTCAGCAATACAATCACCAATCGTTATGATTCAGCCACCAATCGAAAGATATGGCTATCTAATTTTATTTTGAACAGATAGAAAACCAATTGGACCTGTGGTTGGCCAGCCGGAACGGAAAAACCCGGAAAAGTCCCGAGCAAAATGCGTGTCGATTGAAGTTGACATGACTGGTTCTCGGTGATTTGGTTACCAAATTTCAAGATTGAGCCACTATTTGAAAGGTATAACTATCTACTTTCGAACGGAACAGACAACGAACTGATTGCACTTGTGGTTGGCAAATCGGAACGGGAACACCCGCGAAAGGTGGCTCTGTGGAAATTCGGATTCACCGATAAAATGGTCAATTCCTGAAAGTAGACCTAGAGATCCGCGATTTTTTCTAAATTGCTAACAATTGTGAGCAGAGAAGAAATATACCATCAACATATCAATACTGCAACCAAGTGGCCAGAAAACGGTCCTCTGGATATCCGGAATCACCGGAAAAATAGTAAATTCTTGAAAGTAGACCTAGAGATCCGCGATTTTTTCTAAATTGCATACAATCATGAGCATAGAAGAAATAAACCATCAACATATCGATTCTGCAACCAAGTGGCCAGAAAACGGCCCTCTGGATATCCGGAATCACCGGAAAAATAGTAAATTCTTGAAAGTAGACCTAGAGATCCGCGATTTTTTCTAAATTGCATACAATCATGAGCATAGAAGAAATATGACATCAAAATATTGATACTGCTACCGGGTGGCCGGAATATGGTGCTCTGGATATCCGGAATCACCGGAAAAATAGCCAATTCTTAAAAGTAAACCTAGAGATCCGTGATTTTTTTAGAACATGTGAAGAACCCTTAGTTGAGAAGAGATATCTCAGTGCCATAGTGATTCGGTCCCCCGGTGGCCATAAAACGCCCTTCTGGATATCCGGATTCACCAGAAAAATGTTCAATTCCTAAAAGTAGTC